TAATCAAATCCCCCATGTGATTTACCTGAAGCACCTTGGTACTAATGCACCCACCTCCCTAATAAATTAATACCCCTATATTGTGACATTAGATGAGGAATGGGAGACCTGCACCCTTCCAAATGCTGCTTGACTCAATTCCCATCAGCCTCAGCCAAGCATGTTCAGGAATAATGGGAGTTGTAACTCTGGCAACTACACAAATTTCCCCACTCCTGCATTAAACCCAAGGCCTTCTAGAAAGGAAAGCTGAACCTGTTCACACTTTTACATCCACCCCAAATGCTCTACCTGGATCAATCAGTCTCCGCCAATATGCATTCAAGACAGATGCAAAAACCTTGAAACTCAGTAGCTGGGAAAGGGCCCAGACTCAGTGGTAGAACAGCTGATTTTCATGCAGAGGACCCCAGGGTTCAATCCCATATGGCATTTCCAGGTACAGGTGAGAAAGGATTCCTGTCTGCAACCTGGAGAGCCACTGTCAGTGTACCACTGGTGATAATAGTCTGGCTTAGTATAAAGACAGTTTCCTATATTCCTAACCAAGTGACTAGAAAAGATGGCTGATTGATATCAAACACCTTTGCACTCCTGATTCTAGGCATTTGTCTACATCTAGATGATTCCAAATTGCCATCTTCACAGGCCTCAAGGCAAATTTCTACTCCAGTTGTTAAAATGAAGTGTGGGAGGGGGGACTTTCCTGAAGCCTCTAGAATACACATACAAACTGGGCAGGATCCAGACACCACTGTTAACACACTCTGATATCAACTTAGAGGATAATACAGAGCATCTACTTTACCTGCAGAAGGATCCGGGTTCAATCCCTAAAGGCATCACCAGGTAAGAATCAGAATGTCCTCTGTCTGAAACCCTGGACAGCCACTGCTGCCAGTCTTTGTTGACAATACTGTGCTTTATGGACCATAGAGCTATATAGACTGAACTATTTGGACAATACTGATCTAGATAATCTGAATCAGTATAAGGTAGCTTCCTATGTTCCTAGGAGGGGGACCGGCAAGCCCAGGGGCCGAATGCTGCCCTCTAAGCCTCTGTATGTGGCTCTTGGGACTCCCCTCAGGACACACCCAAGGCTTCATCCCTCACCAGCCTTGCCCTGTCCCTATCTCAAGTGTTTTTGCTTGTCCGAAAAAAAGCTTTCTGCCCCCCAGAAAGTTACCTATGAGGAGATGTGGCCCTTGGGCAAAAAATGTTTCCCCATCTTTGTCCTAGAACTCTGACCAGATTGTCCACAGGAAACGCCTCTAAAAAATTCTCCCCTATAAAAAAAGAAAAAAGAAACTACCTGCCTTTAAATCTCCTGACGTCACCTGCTCTTGACACTTTAAGAACTCTTCATGGATCAAAACTATGAATGGGAAGGCAGGCAAGAACACTCCCACACAGCTCACTGTGGGTGGCTTAACTCAACCCAACTTTCTCCCTGGATTCTATTTTTAATAACCTGCTGGTCAACTCTGAAGAGTGGGTTTCCAAGCTTAGCCAAGCCCCTGAAGACCCCAAATGACAGACAAATACCATGAAGCCATCAAATGTTGATCAGGCCCTAAGCCTGGAACGTAAGGAAGCAAAGACCAATCTAATAAACCTCAGGGGACCTTCTCTCCCACCCCTCCTCAACACATTCATCACCCCTCCACATGCACTTAACCAGCAAAGAATCCAAGGCCAGTCCTTAGAAGATCTGATAAGAGTAGAGATGGATGAAGCCTCAGGAAGTAAAGCCCCAGTCAATCACTCCCAGTGCCCACATCCATTATTAATGGACCATTGTCAATTTATGGAAAGTGGGGGGAGGCTATTTTCAGTGGAAGTCCACTTCCCCCTCTCCCAGAAAACCTATTGTTCACTCTTGCCAGTGACTTCTAAAATTTATTATAATTTTATTACTTATACCCCCGCCCATCTGACTGGGTTGTCCCTCTCATGATGGGCCAGGGCCTCCTGCTGCTATGCTGAGAGCCCTCCCTCTCCATAATCAACAGATTCCCCCTCCTCAAAACCATTTTTAAAAAATAAAAAATAAAGCACTCTATTCTTATGCCTCAGAGTGTTCAGACACACTTACAGATGTGTTGTGTGTCTGCACAAATTAATGTAGATATACCCTCACATTCAGGGCTAAGAAATAACTTACAGTCGCTGTAGAATTGATTTCCCCAACCCAACACCCTCCAGATCTTGGGACTACAACTCCCATCAACCCCAGTCAGTACTGGTTAGGGATGATGGGAGTTGTAGTCCCAACATCTGGAGGGCATCCGATTGGGAAAAGCTGCCCCAGATTGTGTCTCCCCTCCTCACACACCCAACCCTATTAACGCCATTCCCCACCCACTCCACTGCCTGCTTTACATTCCGCAGCAAAATCAATCTAGGCACCCATCATACAGAGACCCCTACCCTGATTTTCAGTTATGCGGCCTAGAGACACTTCTCAAATAGACCATATCACTTTCCCCACTACCAAGAAAATTTGTTGGGGGTTTTTGTGGAGGGGGGGGAACCCCAGACATTCTCTCATCTTCCTATTTGCACTTACACCTTTCAACCACCACCACCACCCCAAATTCCTCTTCCGCCTGGAAGCGGACAGCCACTGCAGTTGCTACTACTGGTTCCTATCAGACACTCGAACCACTCAACCTCTCTCTCTTCTACCACTCCACCCTCCTCACTCACACCCCAAAATCAGCATTCATGTACAGTTGGAGTGTGGTATTTAGCGCAAGCATTTGTGTGTGTGTGTGTGTGACGGGCAGAACGAAATGGCTCCTTTTGGTGCTATTTCTGTCTCTCTCCCCTTCCCCCCACTCACACTTATATACACCCCGGGTGATGCGCTCTCAACACCCCACTCTTTTTTTAAAAAAACCCCAATAAGCCAGCTACACTTTAAGCCACCTCAGCCAAAAGCAACACCTGTTCACTGTGTACCCCTGGAGCCTGGCCACCCCCACCCCACAGACTCATTCACTCTCCCCCCCACCCACCCACCTCAATGCCTTATTTTATAATTAAATGTTCACCCCGCCCTGACTAATCAGGACTGAATCATTCCATTCTCCAAAGGCCTGATGGGATCTTGGATTGCTCTGCGTTTCCATGGAGGGCAGAAAACCCAATGCGGAATGCTTTTCTTTTTTTCTTTTTTTGTTAAGAAAGGTTTCTTGATCTTGCTTTGTCAAGACACTGCATTCCACAGCTTCCCCCCACCCTCCCTCTTAGGTGGTGCATTCTTATGCTTCCTCCATCTGCTGTTCTCTGAAGTAACATGAGTTTGCTAAGAGACGAATACTTTCGGATGAGCATCAGAAGATGCCAGACTTTTATCCTTCCCTCACTCCCCCAACACTGCTCTTCCTCCTGCTGCCCATCTTGGCACATGCAGGCCTTCCTCTCTTGCCCCCACCCCACTGGCAACCTCCATCACACACCTGTGGGAAACCCTTTGATTCCAACAGCCAAGAGAAGGGGCAGCTCTCAATCCTAGTCCAGTGGAGAAAGGGAGAGTTCAGTTCCCAATACCCACTCAGAACCAGGCCCTGAATGAGGCCTGGATTCTCAATGACCACCACCACCCACCCACCCACAGCACCAGGAAAAGAAGTCAGGGAAGGGAGGTGGAGGGACTAGGAAAGCAAGGCCAGAAATTGCTGAGCACCAAGGTCCATGGAAAGCACTAAGGAAATGGATGGGTCCCCTTGCTACCTTATATAGGACTCAAGTGGCTCTCAGATTGGACAGAGAAGCACCTACTCCTCAGTTCTCAATACTGTAGCTATTGACAAGTTTTCCCAAGACCAGTAGCCCAAATCTAGAATTCCCAGCACCCCGACACACACACACACACACACACACACACACACACACACACACCATTTCAACAATCGAAAGTCTCCTAGTTATTAAAACAACCACCACCCAACCTTTCCAGGCACACAGATATATAATGCAGTGCTATGAGTTGTCTTGGGGAAGGACCCCAACCTCCCTCACACACACCAAATGAAACTGCATAGCCAAAGCATCTCTCTCTCTCTTACACACACACACACACACACACACACACACACACACACACACACTTTTATGGCAAAGCCCTAGAGCCCCCATTAGCAAGACAGCTAAAACAGAGAGGGACCTCAACCCTTGACCTGTACTTCACCACTAACCCTAATCTTAGAACCATTCCAGCCCTAAGACATTTCAAAGTGGAATTGGGAACGGGTCCATTCCACCCCCTCCGCACACACAAACCTCCCAGCAACCTCTGGACCTGTACAATGTGTGTGTGTGCATGCACAAACATGCACACACCTGCACCCAATGTCAGCCTAGTAGTGTGTTGTGTTCCCAGTGCTCCGCCACCGTCACCATCATGGGCACGTTCCTTTAGCTGCAAGCTCTTTAAGACACAAGCCTTGTGGCATCCACTTTCAGCACCACGGAGAGCACCAAAGATTCAGCACCAGGGCCAGCATCCTCACATTCCAGCAGTCAAGATGCCACCTTTTGCCGCTGCAACACCCCATTTCTCTCCCTCCTGCCTCTTTATAGGGACGATTCCACCTCCCCAATCTCACCACCACTACCCCACATCACCCTATAGAGCCTTATCCCACGCAGCCATCGGCTCCATGGAAACTGCTCATGGGAGAGACAGAAGGCTTCTGGAGACCTCCTCCCACCACTTCAAGCAATGGAGGAGTCTCTTCCATTGCTTACCACAACCATCATAACCACCCCTATCGCCAGTGACCACCTTGGCACCCAGTAGCATTGCCAAGCTGTTCCATGCCACCCATCAGCAACTGCCCCTGCTCCGTCGCTTGACACACAGACAAATACACATGGCTTTCTAGAGCTCTCTTAGCCCCCCCCCCCTTCCCACCCTTTGCAGAGGTGAGCAAACTACCCCACAGTTAACAAGAAGCACAAAAGATGGCACAAATAGAGGCAAATCTTACCTTGGTAGTGACTATGCACAAGCAGTCCATCCCTTTCTTGACTCAAGCACCTAGCTGGGAAAGGTCTGTAGAACATCAGATATTCCGGGGCTCAGGGTTACCGCTTGCCCCCCCCCTCAACTATGGTTCTTGGGTAGCTCACCCTGACTGATGAGGGGTACCAGGGGTGTTACGTCCCACCCGCCCCTGAGCTACGATTTGGTGTATCCTAGGGGTGCCAATGCTGGCATCTGGGTGGTGTGTGTGTGTGTGTTAGGGTGGGGGGGATGCCAGTTGGGAGTATGCGAGAGATGAAAGGCAGCGTGTGTGAAAGGAGAGGCGAGAGATCCAAAAGGAAGGGGGGAGAGAGAGCTTACAGTGAGGGGGGGGAAGTGACAGAATGTAAGGAAGGAAGGGGAGGGTGGAAAAAGGAAGGAGGCTCTGCCTGTTCTCAGAGAAGCAGAGTCCTTTGCTCCCTTCGCTCAAGATGGGCAGCTGGAAAGAGGTGCAGAGGTGGAAAAGAAGGTGGAGGGGTGGGAAAAGAGGGGAGGAAGAGAGATAGAGAGAAAGGGGGAAGAAGGGGGAAATGGGGGGAAGGCCAGGAGCAGGGGGGGTCCCGCTAAGATGTAGGGGCTGAATTGGAGAGAGGAAGAGCCCTCTTGCTGCTCCCCATCAGAGGGAGGGGAGAGGGACCTGGAATATGGAGCAGTGAGAGAGGGGGGCACAAAGAAAAAGGGGGGAGGGAGAGGAGGTTAACCTTTTGAGTGCCAGAACGGATCCAGCCCAGCAAGGGAGGTGGGCGGTGTGTGGAGGCAGCAGCGTCACCGGGAGTTAACTCTCCCAGCGCCAGAGAGACTGAAGGGAGTAGAATGAGAGGCTGGCGGGAGGGAGATTGAATTTCAATTGTGGGTGAAAGTGAAAGGCACAGACAGCCTCTTCCCAGCACCAAAGTCCAGAAAGGATCAGGAAGGGAGAGATCAGGAACTTTGGTGGGGTGTGTGTGTTTGTGTTTGTATGTGTGTGAGAGAGACTGCAGGTGTACATTTTTGTCATATGAGCCCACCCAGTATGGGTCATGCATGTAACTGGCAGAAAGTGGTGGTGACAAAGTGGGATCCAAAAGGCGTTAGGAGACCCTGGGAACCCAATGCTTATGCACACGCGTTGAGTGTGATATTTCAGGGCAGGGTATTGATCCTCATCTAATTTGGGAAGATTTTTCTTCCTTTGTATAATGGTTGGGAGGGAGAAGATAATCACAAGTATATGTATATGTGAGTGTGTGTGACACACACACAGTCTCACTCACACACACACTTGAGACCAATTTAATTTTACACCTAACAGGAAATATCTCATATAAAATGGTGGGGGGCTGCCTGGGAGCCAAGAGAGGGGGTAAAAAAAGAAAAATAATGCCACCCCCACAAATCTGACCTTTACACACACAGGATCTCCAGGAATTCATTAACATTCTCTCCCTCAAACCCCTGCAAAAAAACCAAAAAAACCAACAGACTGCAATAGGTTAAATTTGGAGTTGAAGACAGGAGGGCTAAAAAGAAAAGATCAGATCCAACTGCCAGGAAAATATATGCCCATGAAAAGAGAGATAGAAATATATGGTCAAACGGATGTTGGGGTGGGAGGGAGGAGAGTTTAAAAAACTGCAGCTAAAATGCCTTGATCACAGAAGTGAGGGGGAGGCAGAAAACAGAAGATCTGCTGGAAATGGAGAGAGAGAGAATATCAGGGAGTATGTGCCAGTAGATATACTGAGTCAGACCATTTGATCCATCTAGCTCAGTACTGTCTACACTGACTGGCAGTAGCTCTAAGGGTTTCAGTCTCTGGGTCTCTCCTAGCCCTACTTGGAGTTGCAGTCAGGGATTGAACCTAAGGCATTCTGCATGCCAAACGCTCTACCACTATGGTCCTTCCCAAATTACAGTCACAAGGATAGGGGAGGTCCTAAATACATCATTCTCGGGTGGCAATGGTCAAGATAAAGAGGTGTGTTTTCACCATATGAGGAGAAACCTGGCATGAAGGTTGCAGGTGCACCTCTGTAGGGAAGGAATTCCACAACTTAGGGACTGATTGTCCCTCAGTGGTGGAGCATCTGCTTTGCAAGTAGAAGGTCCTAGGTTCAGTCCACAATGGCATCTCAAGGGGGGCTGGGGGAAAACCCTGCCTGAAGAACCGCTCCCAGACGGTATAGACAATACTGGGCTGGACAGATTTACGGCCCAACTCAGAATAATGTGCAGCTTCCCATGATTCTAACTTAGGGGTTGTCCCAGAGAACCACCACCCCAAAGCTCTGATGGCAGAGGAACTACCAAGAGCTGATCACTCTCTGCTGATCTTAACACCTGAGAGGATCTGTGGGAAAAGAAGAGGAGTCCTTTCAGCTATTTGAGGCCCTAAGTCCCATTTGGCAGCCTATACTCTTCTTTTCAGTTCTTATAGGTGGCCCACCACCCCACAGTGGCTTTCAGGCCATGAAATCCCTTCCCAAATGTCCCACATGTTATTAAAATTTCTCTTTTCAGGCGAACACTTCCAACAGGAACCCTAAAAGTCACTGATTTGACTTCAGCCCTTCCCACTTACTGCAAGACAAAGCGAATACAAGGCCAGCCAGATAAGAGACACCCTGAGCAGCAGATGAGGGGGCCGAAATTTGAGGAGCACTTGCTTTGGCCCTGCAAGCTGTCTTGGGAGACAAGACATTCTGGCTGTGCTTTTGAGGAGGCAAGCTTGAGAGACTCTTCAGCTGCTAGGCATTATGTCTCGCATTCTAGGAAGGGTTTTTAAATTTCTCTAAGGCGGGCGGAGCAAGAGATCCAACCCAAGAGGTTCCCCTGCACAAGCACTGAGTTGTACCCCATCTTAATTCATAGGAGGGACACCAAGATGCCTCCCTTCCCCATTACAGCCAGGATACTTTTATTAGTATTCTTCCATAACAGGTGTTTGGCTGGCTTTCATATATACCAGGGATGGGAACCTTTGATCCTCCAGATGTTGCTGGATGGGAGTGGGGACTCCAACAGCTTCTGGAAAGCCAAAGGTTCCTCATTCTGGAGCTAAACACAGAACAAACCCTTCTGGATTGCCTGAACTACTGTTAATATTATAAAGCCTCACATGGTTCAGGGCCCCAATCCCCTTAGGGACCACCTTTCCCCTCGTGAACCAACCTCATCACCAGAGGCCCTTCTTCTTGCCCCGCCCCCTCCAAGAGAGGCACAGAAGTTGGCAGCATGAGAGCAGGCATTCTCAGTGGTGGCTCCCTGATTGTGGAGTGCTCTCCCCAGAGCGTTGGACACACCTAATTCCATCAATATCAACCACTGAGCACCAGTCAAAGACATTCCTGTTTCCCCATGCATTTGGCTCAATGTGGGGGTCACAGGGTATGATGATTCCCACGCCTTTATTGGTGTTCATCTTTCAGCAGGGTGGGGTAGGATTTATCACTTTCTTTGTTACTACAGGATGAGCACCTTCCATCAATTAATGTTATTTTATCTTAGTGATGTACTTTAAGTTTTGTATCATGCAGGTTTTTATAACTGTAAGTAGCTTTGAGACAGTTTAGTAGTAAATGACAAATAAATGCAATAATGATAATGATAATCCAGCTTGCCAAATCAGACAGTCTGGCACTGAAATTCATCATCATCATCATCATCTAACGAAATAATAGCAGTGATATTATTATTATGCAGGCTCCTAAGACCAGACAGTCTGCAGGATGCCAGGTTAGCAAAGGCTGCCCTAGGACTTCATAGCCAGTGCTTGAAGTCTGCAGCATTCCCTTGCTACATATGGAAAGGTAGACTGCCCCAGCACACTGAGGAACCCTCTGAAACCCTCCAAGAATTTTCTGGCATCTTGCCCTCCAGCCAGCTTTAGCCCACACTAAACTGCTTCGGCTCTTGGGAGGGAGAGAATCTGTTCCTAGAAAAAGGACTTCCTTCCTGTCACATTGAAACTGGCGGCTGCTGCTCCTTCCTCTTATCCTCTCTCCGTCTCAGCAGACAGGATAAACAAACTCTGTGAAGTCACTCTCACAGTCATTTACACCAGCAACTAAAATTATGAAGTTGTGGGGGGGGGTGAATAATCTCTCTTCTGGAGCGAGGTTCAGTTGGGGAAGGAGATGAGAGAGGACTTATGAGATCATGAGCGCTGAGAGGAAATTGACAAAGCAGGACAAGGGGGCGCAGAGACAAATAAAAATCATGGCCCACAAAAACCACGTCATCCTCAGAAACTAACAGAGAGAACATAAGAAGAGCTTTGTTGGATCAGGTGAAAAGGCCTACCCGGGCCAGCCTCGAGCTTCCAACAGGTGCCCTAATGGGAAACCCTCAAGCAGAACACAAGGGCAACAGGGTCCTTATACCTGCTGTGGCTCTAAAAGCAACTGGTGTTCAGTGCTAGACTGCCCTTGGCCATGGAAGTTCCATATAAAGCTATCTCATGCCATCAGGCATCTCATTTAGCACACTCCAAAGTCTTTTTAAAGTGATGGTAGAGGAAACTGAATCTGTGAGCAAATAATGTATTCTGTCACCAAGCTGAAGCCCTTTCCAAAAGCCAATGGTGGATCTCTCCATCTCCATAAATCTGTCTTACCCTTAAGCTACTGACCACCACTCCATGGCAGAGAGTTCAATTCCACACTACTGTCAATCAATTGCAGAGGATAAGCTAGGGCAGGGATGTCCAACTGGTCTAATGGTCGATTGCGGGACCCTGATCGCGCCCCCCCCAAACAAAAGCTCGACAACTTTGGCTGATCCTCCCCCAAAAAAGCTTAACAACTCTGGTCAATACAGTGGGTCACTGCCAGTTTTTTTTATAGATCATAGTCTCTTGGAAGCTGGACGAGCCTGAGCTACAGTATTATTGGAGGGGGCACCTACCCATATCATTAATAATTGTATTAATTTCAGTCATCTCCCTCTTATGCCGACATTTCCTTAGCCCAGCCAACTGTCCCCCTCCCTGCTAGTTTTTAGCAGCCAAGAGATGATTACTGAGGGGTTATGCTGAAGGTATAGAGAATGGATCTTTTATCCCCTTCCAGTGGAACTAGCGTATAAGATTGCTCTGCACAAAGCCCCAAACACTTGAGCTTGCTCCAACCTGCTGATCATTTCAGTTGACCTTTTCAGCAGGTCTGGCGCCAGCTGTCAACCATGTCAGGCATATGACAAGGGGCCCAGAGTCTCAACAGAGCCCCTCACTTGCCTGACCAGGTTCTGCTGCCATTCACTGCTAAACAGACCTCAGAGGCTTTTCAGCAACAGGAAACGGTCCCACTTTGGAACAGGAGCCAAACTTGAGTCCCATCTGTGCTAGCTTTCCTCCATTTTTAAGTCACTCAAAAATATTATTAATGAACTTATGTAATGCCCTGGCCCACAGATCTATAAAATTTACTACTTTCATATATCTATACTTCAAGCAGGATTATAAATATATTAAATCTGTGGATTTAACAGATGTATGGGGCAAGGGATTGCATTTTGGGTATTGTAAGATGGCAAGTGGTCACCATGGCTGGGAGCAGAGTTTAGCTCCCACTCAAAAGTGGTGGTGCCCATCCATCAATGAAGTGAATCCAGAAGCCCAGTGGAGGGGCAGTGAATGGTGCCAACGCAGCCACCACCAAAGCA